AAGAAAAGTCCCATCCTCGAGTCTCTCAATTTGCATTCCGAGGTACTGTTGTACATCTCCTAGCTGTTTGACTTCCACGTCCTTATTCAGTCCATCAGCTATGTCTTTGATGTCCTTTCTGTTTTGACAGGCCACGATCAGGTCGTCAACGTAAACAAGAACATACTGGTATTGTCCATTTTTAATTCTAGTGTACAGACAAGGTTCAGCTTTCCCTTGTTCAAAACCTTGCTTCTGTAGCAGTCCAGTAATTTTGTCATACCAGGCCTTTGCTCCTTGTTTTAGCCCATAGAGTCCTTTGTTGAGTCTGTAGACATAATCCTCTTGTCCTTTGACTTTAAAACCTTCAGGTTGTTCCATGTAGATTTCTTCGGATAGTTCTCCATTGAGAAAAGCAGTCTTTACATCAAGATGCTCTACAACCATGTCTCTTGATGCTGCAACACTAAGAAGTGTTCTGAAAGTTGCTTGGTCGGTAACTGGAGCAAAAGTTTCAAAATAGTCAGTCCCATATTCTTGTGAATAGCCTTTGGCCACTAGGCGTGCTTTGTATAGCTCCACAGTTCCATCTTCTTTATGCTTTATTTTGAAAACCCATTTGCATCCAACAGGCTTTCTGCCTTGAGGTAGCTTAGTAAGAGTCCATGCTTCCTTCTCGTAAATGGATAGTATTTCTTGTTCCATTGCTGTAATCCATTTGTCTTTTTCACTCGTAGGTAGGTTGCATACTTCCTTCCAGTTCTTGGGCTCCTTTGCGGATTGCACAGTTTCACAAAATCCATATTTCTTTGGTGGTTGCCCTTTAGTGCTCCTTTCTGACCGTCTCACACTGGTTGTGGGTTCTGCTGCCTCCTCTGGTGTGGTTCCCGCTTCCCCTTCTGTTCTGGTAGTTTCCTCAGAAGGTAGACCTGCCGGTTCCCCGGTGATCACTACAGGTAACCATGTCACCAACTCTTCAGGTGCAGTCCCAGACATCTGTGGATCAGTTGCACTGGAAACACTTGGCAAATCACTCTCATCAACAAATACAACATTGCGTTCCTTAACTGTGCAATTTTGTGGATTGTATATCCTGTATCCCTTTCCACCGATTGGATACCCTACTACGAATCCAACTTCAGCTCTGGGGTCAAGTTTTCCCCTTTTCTCCTTTGGTATGTGGGCATACCCTTTGGAACCAAAAGCTTTGATGTGCTTTAATCCAGGCTTCTTTTTAAACCAGGCCTCAAAAGGAGTGGTCCCAGTAAGCTTTGAGGGTACTCTATTGTGTAGATACACTGCTGTGTTCACAGCTTCAGCCCATAGGCTGTTTGGTAGTCCAGAATGCATAAGCATTGCCCTACACATGTCCTGAATTGTTCTGTTCAGCCTCTCAGAAGATCCATTTTGTTGAGGCGAATGTGGGATAGTCACCTTGTGTTCAATCCCTTCATGTTCCAAAAATGCTTTAAATTCAGCATTGCAATATTCTCCACCTCCATCAGTGCGTAAGCTTTGGGGTGCTCTGCCAAACTTATTTTTAATTGTGGCCAGGTAACATTTGAATTTATTCAGTGTCTCATCTTTGCTCTTTATCAGATACACAAAAGTATATTTTGTTTTATTCTCAGAAAAAGTCAAAAAATATTT